GCAGTTATGCGGGAATAAAGCTAATACTCTACAGAATGTTTATTTTGTATAAATTCGCTGTAATATATACCGGTTTGTTAGTACGTTGAAAAGAGCTTTTAATATAGGTATTTTGTACATCAGGCAGACAAAACATTAATGTTCGAGCCACTTCGCTCACTACTAACCCTAGAAATCTATATTATTGGCTCAACTTTTCTAGAGAGAAGTAGTAATCCACTCACTGGGCTTATAATAGGACTCTAGCTTTTCACCTTGTACGCACCTTTTCGAATAACAGGAAAAATCGAATTTTCCGCAAAAATCGATCATTTATTCCGCCTAACATCAAATTTCCAGAAATCCATGCACGAAAGGGTACCACAATAAAAAAACCGGAGCTATTATTTACAAGTTATTTATTTTTAACTTTTTCACAAAGTAACCTTATTTCCTTCAGAGTACTGTCTACTACACCTAATACACTTATCCCACCGGTGCTTCTACTGGTCGAATAACAAAACAAATCAGCATTGTTTTGATGTTTGATTTGACTTGACATTTCTTTGGATGGGATGACGTTGGCGTCTTCCATTGACTTGACTGTTGCTTCGTTTCTGGGTCATAACCATAGCACCAAGTCTCATCACCAGTGATGATCTTTGATAGAAAAATTGGATCAGATTCGAGCTGTTATTACAAAGCACGACATGTTTCAACTCGGTGTTCTTGTTGATTGCCAGTCAGAGCCCGAGGAACAAACTTGGCAGCAACCCTTTTCATTCCCAAATCTTCTATTAAAATTCGCTGAACCGAACTTCAGGACAATCCACTATTTACGGATAGTTGATCGATTGTCAGTCGACGGTGTGCAAGCACAAGTTCTCGAATTTTTTCAACATCTTCGTCGATTCGGGCAGTTGATTGACTTCCAGAGCGAGGTTTGTCATCAATCGACATGTCGCCATTTTTAAATCGGGCAAACCGCTCGTACATACATCTGAGTTTTCCCATAGCATCATCTTTGTAAGCTATCTTCAATATAAAACAGTTTCAGTAGCATTTTTACCAATTAGAAAGCAACGTTCCACAGCTGCCAGTTGCTCACTGAGGCTTGCCATCCTAAAAAAAGAAACAAGCACGAAACAGTTCACAAAACTAATGACTAACAGGGAAACGAAACAAGCCAGATCGACAACTCATGTGGCACTGAACTGGCAATGAATTGCGCTGCACGCCCTCCAGGGGCAGACATGTGTACTACGCAAGCTCCGCCCACTGCAATGATATTCCTGTTATTTTTGGGTACCTCCTCGTATACTAAAAGAAGGAAAACAAATGAACAATGAAAGCTGGAAGAAGTTTTTTCGCTCAGAGATAAGAAATTATGTCGAATATCTTATAAGGAAGGGATTAAACCCAGCCTTTCAGGAAGCTCTGCACAGCGTAACTGGTTTACAAGCTCATTAAACCGCCTCAATTTTGCCGCTCCAATTCTCACCCCAACATCGTGATAACGGAGCATCCGACTTTCAAAATAAATGAATAACAGCCACTCCTAACCGCGATTGTATTCAGGCGTATGTCTCTTGTTTTCAACGCTCACTTGTCAAGGTCATACGCACCACGTTTTGAATCACTTAATCACTTTTTTCATTTCTGACTTGAGATATCACGGCATTCCCCTAAGGAGAAGTTACACCTCTTCTTCTGATAGTGAGAAGAAAAAAGCCCTAAATAAATAATGATCAATTTGATTTGTTTGGAATATTTCATTTCATATAAAACTGATGAGTATTAAAGTGGTTGGTTTAATTTGTATACTAAAAATGTATAAGAAAATAACCAATAAACAATTAATCATAAATTTTAATTCTATTAGATTTTTTATGGTTAATTTGTTTTTTATTTCATTAAGAAATGCATAATAAATATTATACTATTATTTCTCAATATAACTGTGGTTTATTTTAGGTACTAAACAGAATGCTTTTCATCAACTGTACGTAAAAAATGAGTCTTTAAAGGAAACCGATAATTATCCGTCTAGCTAGAAAAATGCAACGGTAGTCTCATAAGCATTTAACCCGCATTTTGTAAATTTCTGGAGAAGATTATTGCGATGCAGAATATACAGACACTAAAGCGGTTTTACAGGAAGTTCAGACGAAGTTATAAATACTCAACTGCACTCCTAAAAATTATTCTTATTTTCTCTTAATGAAAATATAATTCATAGGGCTAGCTCGAAGTACAGTAATTTTTTTCCATAACTACCTTAAAGATAGACAGCAAAGAGTAGTTTTAAGTGGCAAATCGTCTAGGTTCAAGATCATTTCATCCGAGGTACCTGAAGGTTCCGTATTACGCCCTTTGTTGTTCATCATATATTTGTAAGCAAGTCAATTAGTTTTAACACCACATCTGCATTTTTATGGTGATGATACACACGTGTATCGTTCAAAAGAGAAGAGGTACGGGCAGCATGTGCGAAATTAAATATTGACCTGAACTTCATAAGCGCGGCCATAGGTGACTGTTTGGCGAACAATGCTGGTAAATGAAAAATGTTGTAATTTGTCAGATATTGAAATACAATTTGGTGATGCTCATGTTTCCTTATCAGAACAAGCTAAAAAACTGTTGCACAATACGTATGCTGCTTTCAAGCTTATTTATGTTAACAGGAATTATCTTTCTACAACAACTAAAATAATTCTATGTGACAGTCTGGTTCTATGAATTATGCTGATGTTGTTTGGTCCCCTTTGACTTCTGTTTATGAACAAAAGCACAAAAAGTACAAAATTGTAGATCAAGCAGAGTTTGTTACAAATTGTGTAATACAGGACGGCTGAATATCTACAACAGAAGGGCATACAGCTTGTTTAAATCATAGATTAGTAATTGCTAAACAACAGGAATATCTTCATAATAAAATAAAATTTTGTACTTCAAGATTCATATTGTCTCCTTTCAGGTTTCACCATGAATTTTTAAACAAAATTTCACCTACCAAATTTATAGTATGAACCGTTGTGTGAACAGTTTCTCAACCGAATAACATATAATATTGTAAAATTCAATAGCCAAACGGACATTATTTAGCAAACAGAGCTATTCAATAGACAATGCGTCAGTATTAATTACAATTTTTGTTAAATGTATGGTATGTTATTATTAGGGTGGTTATTTGTATTGTGTGTTATGTTGCGGATAAAATAGTTTAACAGTAAAAGAGGTAAATGTGTCACATCAGTGGTGCGCAGCTGAACTTAGAGATTCAAAACACTTTTTTTCAATGAAATCGTTTGCTTATTTGTTCTTGTTTGCCGTTATTGCTATTATTATTGTTATATTTCAAAGTCAGATGTTATAAATGTTCTTTCCCAATGGTGACTCACTTCCCAAACAAGCTATGTAATGAACTAACACATGTTTCTTTATTGTTTATCACACTTCTAGGAAGTAAATGGAGATAGTCCATATCACTTTTAATTATGAGGAAATATAGACAAACGTTTATCGGTGGTGTCATGGTCAAGGTCTGTAATTCGGTTCACGTTTTTCACTTAGGATAGACGGTAATTCAAAATGTTGCTTATGTTGCCTTTGTAGTGCTCAATTCAGCAAGACGAAATTTACGTTAACGTATTCCTGCATCTTAACGTAAAAATGGCGGTTGAAAATTTCAAGATAACGGCTGGGTGCCATCTTCCATTTAAAAAACTTTTCTAAGGCATTCTGTACACCAAAAACCAATACATGAAAAACTTCATGGTTAACCCTCTAACTTTTATACAATCTATAACTCATATATGAAGGGTACATGCAAATAATAAGGAATGTCCTAATGAACTGATTTTGAGAAAAAATCAATTGAAAGCTTACAAGTATATTATTTTCATTGTGATCAAAGTATGCAGTAACTTTTACTTAGAACTAACTAAGTGTTCTTAATTATTAAACATATTTAAATTGAACAAAAACCAAATGAAGGTTTTTGAAACAAATAAAAACCAAGGAATGTCCAATCCAGTTATCAGAATCTATGGTTTTTGATTCATATTTTAGTTTCCTATTGTCTTATAAACTGTAATGACTCAAACTTCCGTTAAATAAGTTAATTTGGTAAAAATCTTTTTCCTTAATCTCTCATGATATTTTTTTATGATTTTTATGCTTTTCTCTTTAATCTACTCTAGCTTTCTCTGTTTTTTATGCTTTTTCGTAAATATTCAACCTTTTCTGTGGTAATTCCATGACGTGCAATGAAGGCTAAAAGTCTATTCAACATTATTGTTGATATCTTCATCTTTTACCCTCACTTTATAGCTGCAAAGCTGAAAGTCTCATCTCATCTTCAAACTTCCTGCTTGTTCTTCGTTTCACATTATAAACATTTATAAAGCCTGACTAATATAAGTTCTGTTCACTGACACTATCTAATGAATTGAAATATTTAATAATATTTCTTTGATTATTTTCATTTATATTTTCAAAACTTATGAAATTTGAACAATAATTACACAGTGCACCTTCATGAGAAGAAAGTCGTAACTTTTTCATTACATCTTTAGTTCTACCAGTTTTCTTTCTTCCTTTGTTGATTTGACTCTGATTATTTTCATCATTATCTGAATCAGAAAACATATTCAACTTCAAATTATTATACCGCAAACTTTATATAAATTCTCAACTCAAAATTATAACTCATTTTGGACAATCCTTCTTCTTTGCCGGTATGACATGGACATTCCCAGTTCTTTTCGTTTCGACCATAAACAAAAATGTCTTTTTGGTGCTATCTGTTAACTTATTTCAAAGGCCAATGATTAAGAATTAAAATATCATATACAAGGATTTGTTTCCAATTGGAGACTAAAAAAAAAATGTGACATTCCCTATTCTTTGCCTGTATCCTTTATATTGTTGCGTTCTGACTAGTGTCTGTTTCTGGCAGCTCATATTGGCCACCGTTGGTGACAAATAGCGACAGCCACTGGTGACATAGTGTGTGACAGCTCTCACAGACGTCAGCCTTGATAATAATTAACAGATACAGAAAACGTTCAAGTAGTACTAATAATCTCCCTAATGAGCAGTGCGTAGCTAGGTGATAAAACAGTCCGTATAAATACTGTAAAAACCTGCAATTATTAATTCAAATTTGCTCAAGCTTGTTGCCATACGTGCTCTTCCATTTACTTGTTAGAATGGGATTCCCAAAATGTCTACCTATTACCATGTTTCTGATCTCTATGCTATTCGCAGGTAAGCTTTCATTTGGAATCCTTTGAAGTATCAAAAAGCAAAAAGAGTTGGTTAGTTAGTTTTAGACTGATCTATGAACGCGTATATCATTTTTAAATATATATTATTTATTAATTGATTTATTTTCACAGCGGCTTCAGCTGCAGACCAATGCAGTTCTGCGAATGACTGTATCAAGCTCCAAATAAGCTGTACCAGTGGTAAATTGTTAAAATGTATTAAAGCTTTGTGCGTTTGTATTTCAGTCCATGTATAGAACAAATAAATGGAACTATACTGAAATGCTTTTCTTTACTACCATATATAATATCAATGCCAGATAAGTTTGAATCCAATACCAAATTTTAAGCCTGCTTAATCTGTTTTATTTGGCAAAATCTTATATACACTTTAGAAATAATATTTTCAGCCATCAATCACTCTCCAACAAACTATAGTTGGGCACCAAAATGGAAGAAAGCACTTACCGATATTGAGGCCTGTGCTATATTGGATTCAAAATTAATGCATTTAATTTATTGTGCATTGCATTGAAATGTGAAATTTCAACCCAACTGTCTAAGGTAAATCGTTTAAAGCTTTGATGTACAATAACTAATTCACTAGCATACCTACTTAGTAAGTGGTCAAGTTAAATTGTAAAATAGAAAAAAAAACACCTGGAAAGGCATGTTGCTTCAAACTAAATATAATCGGGGACGCAGCACGTATAAATTTGAAACTGATCATTCCACTGCGGCGAAATTTAAGCTGCACTTTCCGTTCCTTTCCCGGTATTTCCATCGAAAGCGCCTATACTTAATTCTCCGTAATCTTTCTTCTAGATTATCTTAAGCTCTCTGGATAACTATCTGATAAAATAGATTGCCAATTCGTGTGCTCTCTGTGTTAGATCCGGTAACTTATATTAGATACCAATGAAAGAGCGATTGCCAATTATTTTACAGGTAACGAACTATGTATCTACCAAAATTGCCAAGTTGTTATATTACGATCCACTAAAAGTAAAATATATCTGAGGAATTACTGATTTCAGAGAATGAAGATGCACTTTTCCATCCAATATTGCTTCCTCACAACCTTGAGATATTGGAGCTAATACTATAAAATTTTATAATCTTACTGTTGTACGTACAAACATATAGTTCCACCTTCACCATTAACATGCCGAATTGTACTGACGAGACGTAGCCGTGGTCAAAGATTGCATGTTTACAGCGAACCCCTGTATACAGGGTGTTTTGAAATCCAAAGTACTTCCGGAGAGAGGCGAAAAACACGATATCTTCCCAAAACTGTTCTAATTTTTCCTGACTTTATTTGCAGTGGGATTTTAGAATAAATTGTACACCAAGATTGAAAATTATTATCCTCTACAAGCTGGCGTGATTAGAATTTCAATATGACGTTTCATCTCTTGCCCTTCAGCATCAACTTTATTTTTTCTCAACTACGCCATTATGGATTTTTAAAAAGATGAACAGTTATTTAAAGAAGTAGAATTTCCTTAAAATTATCAGACAGTCATTTGTACCATATACCAGATTTATCCTAAACCACTTTTTAGACCTTATTTGAGTGGGAAAATAAATTGTATGCTGTCATTGTTACTTATTCTGTTCTACAATATAGCATAGTCAAATTTTTAGTTCGACATTGCTACATCCAAGTTCCACCACCAACTTTGTTTTTTCTAAGCGGCATTTTGTTGACTATCTAAATACGCAACCCTGTCTTCATTTAACCGAGAATATACACTTTGAAAACAACTTTTCTGATTCAGGAGGTCAAAATGACAATAGTATTGGGATCGTCACGCGATTAACCTCCAGGAGGACTCAGAACCGGCATATTTCCCCTACTAAGGATATTCATCGAATTTCTACTACTCGCCAACATTTTCTCACTTACAAGGTATCAGAAGTTTCTGATGATTCTGCAACCGAGCAACTGTTTAAACAGATCTCGCTGAAAGTCACGTACACGGATATTTCGTGATGTAAATCAAACGGAAAACGATGTCGCTTGTTGTTGGATGTGGAAAGGTTTCTCTTTGTTATTCAGACTGGGTGACAGCAGACGTTCAAATGTCGGGTTGCTTGTCGAGATAAAATTGCTGCTGATGCTGAGTCGAGTGCAATAAACAGATGCGGACAAACTGTATTGAAAATGTCGTTCCTTGTTTCTCGATATCAGGGCAAATGGAAAAGTGCGGCTTTTACATTTTTGAGACGATACAATGCTACCATTCGGAGAAAGTCACATACTTCTTTTCCTATAGTATGGGAGCATCCTTTAGATTAAATGCGAGGAGTTATACGGCCTCGCAGGGCTATCACGTAGAAAACCTAAAAAAACGACCAATCTACCGACAAAATGTTAAATTACTGCCTAGATAGTTCTTATTGAGCAAAACAGTTCCACTGCTGTCTTGATTCGGGTCTAACGGTTGTCGTCGGTTCGAATTTCTTCCTCACTTTTCGCTAGCACGAGTGGCAAGCTTCTTCAGAGGTCCTTCCATTTCCGATGCTGGATGTAGACTAACGATTTCTCTTGCGCAGGTTATAGTTATACCGGAGGGTAGGTGACGTAGCTTGTTCCACTTCGGTTGAGTTCGAGATGAGTCTGAGAGTCTCTTCCTTCCTGTTGAAGTTATCTGGATGTTTGTGAATCTCGATAGCTTCCCTGACCAGTCTTTTGTGTTAGGCGTTGACTATGACAGCAACCTGCAGGTCCCAAAGTGTATCCTGTGGTCCCCATTGCTTAGTGCATGTTTAGCTACCGCAAAGTTCTCAATTTGTCCTAGCCGGCAATTTGCTTTGTGCTCCTTGAGTCTCGTTCCCATTGATCTTTTCGTGGTTCCAATGTATTCTTTGCCGCATGAACACGGTATGCGGTAGACTCCTGCAGCTGAGAGTGGGTCCTTCTTGTCCTCTACCGATCTGATGGTTTGTTGGATCTTCTTCGTAGGCTTGAAGATTGTTTTAACGTCATGTCTCTTCAGGACTCTGCCAATCCTGTCCGTGACTCTTGGCACAAATGGAAGATACGCTTGAGAGGAGGTGGGACGCTGTTCGGTTTACACGTGGCCTGGCTGATCTTGAGCCCATTGATCTTTCGATGCCCCTCTTGCTGTAGCCAGTTGCTGCGAACGCAGTTTTCATGGAGGTTCTCCGGTTCGCAAATCCTTCGAGCTTGTTCTGTCAGGGTTCTGATGACTCCATACTTCTGACTTGGGTGATGATTCGGCAAAGTGTGCAGGTATCTATCTGTGTGCGTTGGTTTCCTATACACTGTGTGATCCAGCTTGTTACCTCGTTTCCTGACTAGTACGTCCAAGAAGGCCAGTTGTTGATCACTCTCTATCTCCATAGTAAATTGTATGCTTGGATGCCGATCGTTGAGGTGCTGCAGAAACTCGTTTAGCCTGTCCGTGTCATGTTTCCAAATCACGAAGGTGTCGTCCACGTACCGGAACCAAATTGCTGGTTTGTTCTCCGATGCCTCAACTGGCTTCTTCTCAAAGTGTTCCATAAAAAGGTTGGCTATGACTGGGCTAAGTGGACGTCCCATTGCCACTAGGCTAGGCCGACTAGGACAAACTGAGAACTTTGCGGTAGCTAAACATGCACTAAGCAATGGGGACCACAGGATAAACTTTGGGAGCTGCAGGTTGCTGGCATCAGTCAACGGCTATCACAATAGACTGGTCAGGGAAGCTATCGAGATTCACAAGCATCCCGATAACTTCAACCCTCAGAACTCAACCGAAGCGGAACAAGCCACGTCACCGACCCTCCGGTATAAATACAACCTGCGCAAGATAAATCGTCAGTCCACACCCAGCATCGGAAATGGAAGGAACTCTGAAGAAGCTTGCCACTCGTGCTAGCGAAACGTTAGGAAGAAATTCCAACCGACGACCGCCTTTAGACCCAAATCAAGGCAGCAGTCTATCAACTGGCCGCGAAAGCCTTAACCAATTTGTAAAACATTCCACGTTTGATCGGTATGAGTGCTGTGAGTGTTAATGTATGAAGGAATGACTCAACGACACGATACGCTCAATGACCATGCTGCAATCTGCAAGTGAATTCCATTCTAATTAAAAAATCTTTGATTGTAAGAGTCCTTATTTAAGGATTTGATATTTAATGAAAGTTTATTAAAATATTTCGATGATATATACCTATATATATATATATATATATAGGTGAAAAATTAAAGCTTCCGCCTTTTGTTGGATACTTCGACAACAATTTAAGAAAAGAGGACTCTTTATACTTTTTTATTCTCTCTAGCTTTCGATGGACTTTGCCATCATCATCAGGAGCTGCAATTACATTGTTAACAGTAGCAACAATAGTGTAAAGTGAATTTAAATTGACTTAACTTAGTAGTATGTGAGGATGTTGCTAATTGTTATTTACGTTCAGGATGAGGGAAACACCCAGTAACATGGTGAAAGCTGGATAGATGGTACAATGGTCAAAATTATATAAAATACACACAACTGTGTGACAAGAACAAGTTAAAAACAGATTAATACATATATATATATATAAAAGTAAAGCTTCCGCCTTTTGTTGGGTACTTCGACAAATTTAAGCAAAGAGGACTCTTTATACTTTTTTTTAATTCTCTCTAGCTTTCAATGGACTTTGCCATCATCATCAGGAGAGTAGTATGTGAGGATGTTGCTAATTGTTGTTTACGTATAGGATGAGGGAAACGTCCAGTAGCATGGTGAGAGCTGGATAGACTGTACGATGGTCAAAATTATATAAAATATGACAAGAACAAGCCAAAAACAGATTAAAAATTATTTAAAAAACATTAGAGCATTACATCGTGAAGCCACTTGATGATTGCACCTTATTGCAATTAATTTTTCACCTAACTGGTCTAGACGACAATGACCACGTCTCAAGTTATATATATATATATCTTACACTTTTTTGGCTCTTGGGTCCGTATCATTCGTCGTCATTACAATTTTGTTTTGAATTTCAGGCCGATAAGACAAATGACAGCAAGTTTTATCATCCGGAAATTTCTTAGAATTCAAAAGGAAAGTATAACCTCAAAATAGAGCGACGACATAAAACGAATAATTTTTTGAAAATCGTTAATGAACAGAATTGTTGTTCAAAGAAACAGCACTTGAATATTTAAAAGATGTTTTGAAAACAGCGTGTTTTACTACTGCGGTATTTTAAAACCGCCTCTAGAATTATATTTTCAGAACACCATTGAAATTGTCAGAGGATTACAGCAATGCG